GTTCTTGGATACTTCCTTCTTACTTCCAGTTGGATGTTTTCATATCCAACTAGGGGTGTATATAGTTACATTAAAAAAAGGAAACAAACAAAGATAGCTCATTTGATAAAATATTTCTGTAGTGTCTATTTGCACTGAGGTGTGAATGTGGATCATCAATACTGATGTTTGTTGACATTTAGTTGTTTTATGCAAATACTACATAATTATTTAATTGACTGTGTTGAGATATGGCAATGCTATTTAAATTTCTTTTCATTTTTCTAATTGATTTTAAAGGATCTTACTGCTTTCAATCAAATTAATCTGGGTGTGTCTAAACAGGAGGCCAGATGGTGAAATTTCACATGAGATTGACACAAAATCTGCCACAACATCTGGAAGTGCCGCCATATTCCTTTGCCAGTGAAAAGGTCCAAAATTTTCTGAACAAGACATTAGAACACTGTCTGTTGGGGAGGGGAGGAGACTTTTCACTCTATCTATAGGTGCATTCAGTGAACTCAGGTGGTTGAAATGGATGTCAAACAAGTGCACAGAGTCAGCTGAGAGCGGTGAATAGGGTGGAGTTTTTATGTTCTTCCTATGTTTGTGTAGGTTTCCTCTGGGTGCTCAAGTTTCCTCCAACTATGCCCAAAAACATAGTTAGATTAGCTGGTTTCTGGGAAAAATGTTCCTGAAATGGTCCTGGCATGAGTGTATCCGTGACTGACCTGAAATGAACTTACGTCCCATCCAGGGTATAACCTGCCTTGCTCCTGTTGCTTGCTCTGTATGGCTCTGGCCTCCCTCACTGTGACTCTGCACTGGATAAAAAGTAATGGATAAAATCTCTAGCAGTGATAACAGAAATGTAGCTGCCCAATCTGATAGTGTTCCGCTTCACAAGCAGTGGTAGGCTACAGTTATTCTTACTGATAACTTGTAACCTGCACTCGTCATAGAGAAGCTCATGGTTCAGGGAGTACATCTCCTCATCACCAGTGGAAGTGGGTCCTTACCAATCGACAAAATTGTAACATGTTTGTGTTACATTCAACGCGGCCCCCAAACAGCGCAGAGGACCCAAGACCCAAGAGCTAGGGTGTCACAGTCCAGGGGATTATCTGGCTCACTGCACCCGGGTGCAAGACAGGCTGGCACAAAGTCAGCCAGAGGCAATATTGCCTGCAGAAATCCATGGCCAAGGGTTGCATGGCATGTCAGACTCATCAGGTTTGGCCTGGATTCCTGAGGCTGGGCTCCTGGAAGCTGGGCTCCTGGGCAGCTGGAATTGCCTGGGATGCAGGCAGGTGGGCTGAGGAAGTGGAGCACAGGGAAGGAACGTATAGAAAACAGGTGCAGGACAGGGAGAGCCTTGAAGAGCTGGTGCCGTGCTGGTTCCAGAGCATAGCACAGGACCAAGCTCTAAGGCCAGGCAGGATCCTCCTAGTTGGGGTGGTCATCCTCAAGGTGCTTCTATACCAGGCTGAACAGGGTGAGTGCTCATCAGGTGGTCTTCTCTAGAGACCATTCAGGGCAGAATAAGGTGACTAGTAGGTCGGGCCGAAGGAGTAGTTTGTTGAGGTCTGGGTACGAAGCTTGGAGAGGCCCTAGACATCTCAGCACTAGAGACCTGGAACGCTGAAGGGTGGCTCAGTACTGAAGTAATGAATGTTTTTTTAATGTCAATGCCGAACTGCAGAGGAGACCCCAGAACACCTGCTGTCAGATGGCTATTTGTTACAGACAGGTGCTCTTGTGTCTCGTCTCTCCTTGGCAATCAGGGCAAACGAGAGGCAGCAGGTGGCTCCCAGCCTCTGCTGTTTGCTGTTTGGAGCAAGGTTATACACTGATCATTGAAATACTAATTTTGCTGTATGTTACAAACTAAAATCTTGAAAAACACATACAGTAATTTGTAATATAATAATTATGTTGATATTATTGTAATAGAACTCTAGATTTATCCACCTTCAATCTTCTTATTTAAAGTGACCTTTATTGCCTTATGTCATACATGATGTGTGTAAAGATGTTGTAAATTAGTGATTTTTTCTGACTTTTGTACACTTTAGGGAGGCTCTAATATATGGTTCAGTGTGATCTTTTTAAGTTGTATTATATAGCACATGCTGAGGTTTTCTTTGTTTCAGGCCAAACCAAATCTGAAAATGGCATCATTTTCACAGTCTCACAATGAGCAAGGTATTTGCATTATCCAAATGAAAAAAGAGGAAGGCGCTGAGATTTGGTGCCCACAGGAAACATGAGCTGCCTTGTTGCTTTTTCTTAATGTGTTTCCCATCCTGTAAGTGAAAAATCTACTTGAACAAGAACTGAAAACAATTCATCAATGCAAAGAACTCATTTGTCTCATCTTGCTTACTGGTTTACTGGTAGCTTATTGAACTGCAGTGATCATCTAGTCTCCTATTAAAGATAGATACTTTATTAATCCCGTAAGGGAAAATTGCAGAGCAACAGCAGTCAGGCAAAATCAACGCAGCACAGTACAATGTAATAATACAATAATACAACAATACAATAATACAATACAAAAAATACCATCAGTAAGAAATGCAATTAAAAATACAGTGTAAACAATTGCACACAATACAAAATAAACTAGAATGTAGAGTGCACAAAGAAAATGTATTGCACAGTATAAATATATTACATAATCCACAAGCATATTACAAAAGTGTAAATATAGATAATTTGCCCAATTCACTTCCACATGTTCCACACCAGTTATAAATAAAACACCAGTTGCAAACAGAGGATTCAGGGTTAATCCAAAAATAGGTAAAAGTTGCCACAGCCCAGACACACAATGGAAGAGTTGTAAAGTCATATGGCAGAAAGCAAAAATGACCTTCTGTAGCGCTCCCTGTCGCCAATTGCTGAACCTGCTCTTCATTCTCACAAGCTTGTCATAGAGGGGGTGGGAGACGTTGTCCACAATGGTTATTAATTTGGATACCATTCTCCTCAGCCACTACATCCAAAGGGTCTAAATCAGACCCAGTGACAAAATTTGCTCTAATCCCAGAGCCCCGGCACACCACTGTGTAGAAAATTACACTCACCACAACAGATTGATAGAACATATCAAGCATCTTACTACAAACATTGAAGGACCTGAGCCTCCTCAAGAAATAAAGTCGGCTCTGGGCCTTCATGTAGATAGGTTCAGTGTTGGTAGTCCATTCCAGTCTATCGTCTATGTAAACGTGCAGATACTTGTATGAATCTACCATCTCCACATCACTCCCATGGATATAGACAGGAGTAGGTTGGACTCTCTTCCTCCTGAAGGCCACCACCAACTCCTTGGTCTTTGCCACGTTAATTTGACTGGTTAAGCCGTTAACCAGTCCTCCGTACTCTGCCTCCTGCCCACCCTTAATACATCCCATAATCGCACGACTCGAGTTGTACTTAAAATCCGAAGTATAGAGGGTAAAGAGGAACAGAGAAAGAACCGTCCCCTGAGGAGCCCCTGTGTTACTCACCACCTGTTCAGACACACAGTTCTGCAGCCTCACAAACTGTGGTCTGCCTATCAGATAGTCAGTGATCCATGAGATCATGGAGGTGCCCACTTGCATCTCTTCCAGTTTCCTTCCTAACAATAAGGGCTGAGATAGCATTAAAAAGCACTGGAGAAGTAAAAAAACATAATCCCCACTGTGCTGCTGACCCTGTCCAGGTGGGAACATTGTTGAGAATGTTCTTCAAACACAAGGAAGATATACACATACGTCTTCTTCATTTCCACTTGATTTGAGGTGATTTGCCCTTTAGGATTTTCTTTTGCTTGCAGTCTCCTCACCACCTCATTCATTCAAGACTAAAAGGATTACGTTCCATCAACACCTATCACACATTTTTTTTATTATTTTGTTGTCTTTAAATTTATCTTCCCCTCAATAAATATCATATGTTGTGAGGGGGAATTAAATTCAAAGATATTCAGGATAGGAAATAGGATGTCTTTATCTTTATGCAGAGAGCACTAGGAGTCTGGAGTAAAGCTCCTACCCATGTTTGTCAATCCATGACTGAATTGAATCATTAAGATGTGAGCTTGTGAACAAGCAATCTGGGCCAGATAGCCTCCTCTCAACCAGCTTTTTGGTTGTTCTGCTTTATTGTGATTCATTCAATTCACTGAAACATGTATTAACATCACTTTAGACCATTATTTCATACTGTGTTTAAACACATACTGTGTTTAAACATCTGTGTTACAGGCTGGAGAAATGATATCTCGAAATGGGGCCAACTAATACCTTGGTCACAGAGTAACCACAACTGTTTTCATTTTAAAAGGAAATAACTACATTTTACAAATAGGTTTTCAATCCCTCACACCATTCCTCAGTTTCATTCTCATGATATTTTCATCACAATGTTCTTTAGGCTTATTTGTCACAGGTTCAAGTCAGTCCCTCTTTCGCTCCCTCTGTCCTCCCGTCTCCACCTCTCCTTGTCTCTCAGTCTGTGTTCTTTCACAGAGCCCTGGTTCGTGGTGTCACAACAAGGAATATATCACACACCTTTTGCAAAGGGAGCTCATGTTTAGAGAGTAACACAGCTGTCACGTATCACGGCTCAGATGGTCACAGTCTAATTTGTTTTGGGGTACTTGTGAAGTGGTTCATACCTACAAAGTTTAGGGAAGCAGGAAAAGAAACAAAGTATTTATTTTCAAATGCTCATGAAAAAACGCACATGTTTCTGCTGATTATGTAAGAGATTTAGGTCAATTAACCACAGGGGACTTTGTATTGTGGAGGTAATTTTAAAATAATAAAAAAAGCTCTTACAGCTTCTCTGGCCCTCAAAACACATGAGCACTCAGCAGAAGCTTACATTAGACTTCCTTCCACTCTCTGTCTCTTACCTTGCTTGAAAAATATGGGACTAACTTTTTTCTGTTTTCTTTTGTCCTTAAATTAGAAATCCAGAATCACCACCTTCAACACCTGCATTCCTGCATTGCATGAGTAAGGATGGGTACATCCTACAGGAACACAACTCTGCTCCTCAATAGCAGCTTGCCCAATATCACTGCCCGGCCATGGAGTGTGTACGCAGACTGTGAAGGCAGATTTGGTGGTGTAATGTTTTACCTAATAGCACAGAGCATCAACGTCGTTCTTGGTCTGCCAGCTAACATGATGGCACTGTGGCTTTTGCTGACAAGCACAAGCGACTCCTCCGTTTCTGACATCTTCATACTGAACTTGTCCTTCTTGGATGCTTTTTTTTGTCTAATGGCCCCCCTTGATCTGAGTAACATATTATTTCTGAATAACCAGAGCATTTTGCACGTCCAGCTTTTTGTCTATGGCATAAAGGACTGTTCTCCTCTCTTTCTCTCAAGTATTTGCTTGGACCGGTACATGGCAGTGATGCATCCCATCGCATTCTTGAAATTCAAGGGTCGCAAACAGCGCATCGCTTTATCTGCAGCAATGTGGGGGATCACCTTAGCCTATGCCATAGCCAAAGCTATCGGGGGGATTGAAAACCTTGAGAAGATATTCAATGTCACCATCCTGGCTTCCTTTTCATTCATGGTCTTCTGTAACACCTCAATCCTTTGGGCTCTGAGGAGATCTGGACCGGGGAAAGACGAGTTGCACCCCATGAAGAAGAAGGCCTTCAAGATGGTTCTTTTGATTCTGACCGTTACAGTGTTTAATTACCTCCCCCCTGTGGCTCTTTTCCCATTCCAGGCGTATTTCTCGACCACTATGTTCAAGTGTTATGTCAGTCTCATGTCTTTCGCCTGCATGGATCTCAGCAGCAGCATTCAGCCTTTGTTCTATCTGTTGAAAGACAGGATTCTGCACTTGTCAGTTTCAAAGGTGTGCTGTTAAGGGCTTTATTTCAGCTGAAACTGCTGTGCTTAGAAATAGAGCATAGGACTAGCCATCCATTTTAAATAACTGCTCAGGCCAATCCAAGGTCACAGTGTGCAGGAGCATTCTTTCGACTATGGTGGGCAGACCGGACAGCAGATCATTCACTTAAGCTTAGAAATGGAGGTGTCTGGTTTTACATGAATATGAATTAATGTTGTTCAGATCCTAAGGTACAGTACTTTTAAAATACTCCTCTCCAGAGTTAGAAACCTTATCATAAATTGCATAGCTGCCCAGAGTATTTGCCTCAGTTGTACTAGTGGCTGTTTATATTTCATCAGCTTTTGCTACCCAACAATTAGCGGCAAAAATCTCTGGACTTTTGCTACTGCACTAACTCTGAGGAAACCAGGTGTCGGTGTATGCCCCTCTCAGCCATTTAGACCATTATGTAGTATTTCTTGTCCCAAGATATAGACAGAGATTCAAAGCACATAAACCACTTATAGAACTCTTAAACAATGGTCAGCTGTTATGTTAGCTTAGCTATAGAGCAAACAGGTTAGTGGAAGATGCAGTCTCCCTGGGGCTCCATGATATATTTCAACATATATATCACCCAGAACATGTGCTCGGATCCTCTTTAGTGACTATAATTCTGCTTTTAACACAATCATCCCTCTCAAAATTTTTGATAAGCTAGCAGTGAGGGGTATTAATCAGCCTCTGTGTTACTGGCTACCGGATTTCCTTTCTGATATGAAGCAGGTAGCGAAGCTAAAGCATACCCTCTCTAAGCCTCTCAACCTCAGCACAGGTGTTCCTCAGCTCTCCTTTACTCCCTGTATGCAAATAATGGTATTTCATCAACACACACCTACACACACAACAAAACTTACACACTGGTATAACTCTTTCAAGTCTGGAACACACAGACGCACATCACTCATGTATACAGGTGACAATTTAGAACACCAGCTAACCAATGACAGCACATCCTTGGACTGAGTGTTGGAACCCCAGCAGCTGTAGGAAACTCACATTGGCCTAAAGAGAACACGCAAGCTCCACGCAGAGACCATGCTATAGAGATGCTAATTTATGGTCAAAGGCATGGGGAATATACTGGTTATAATGACCAAGAAATTACTTTTGTGGAAAAATATCTAGATATATAAACAATAAAACTTCCTATTTCTGCCATTATTTTTTTTACTGTATATCTGTGCTAAGATGTTTTTTTTCAGTTTTGTTACAAACCATTTTTCTCACCTTGAAATGTACTTGTTTAATTAAATGAAACAAAAGTTTTATTTGATTTTCATTAAAATCACAAATGCACAGCTCACAGGTTTTACAATACTTGTTGGTGGTGTGGTGAACTAGTATAAAGTAAGTATGTTGTATGGTGTGATACCGCTCTTTTGGGACAGAAGAAATAGGGAAATTATTTTGGCATGACAGCATGTGCAAAATGTGAATTAATATGAGAGGTAGTATTCAGCAAAATTAAGTTCTCTGATATTCAAAATATTGCGGTATACTCCTAAAAAGATCAATGATAACAACAAGCATTAAAATTCAAAACTCCAAGCCCGCTTTCCTTCATGCATTCTTAAATTTGCTTACATTTAAATATAATTTTGCCTTAGATAAAAATAGTGCAGGTTCCCTAATGCCTCATTGTTAGAGCTTGTGCAGGACACTGTGAAATCACTGGCTGATCTTTGACCACTTCATCCTATGGGGAATTGCAGTAAGCTGGATATTTAGCTCTGACTGGAATCACTGGTCTTTCATCTCTGGACTGTAGGACCCAAACTGCACACAGGGCAGAAGCTTTAACTGTTTGTCATTACTGGAGGCTTTAGCTACTGACTTAGCACAGCTGGCAGTACCACCTATCAGTGTCTTCTCATCTTAAATGCTTAACGCAAAAGTGTTTTTTTTTACCGTGGAGCTTAAGAGAGGAATACTGTACCTTTTCTCTGCTAGTGGAAAATAGGAGGAGGGAGTTGTCTCCTCAACATGATCCTTTACTGTAATGTTCATCATCTCCTCAGATACATACCTGTGCTGGCTCTCTTCTTTTTCATGTGTTAATGCACTTGATAATGTAACAAGCGCAGCTCTGCCCCACGTGCACCTCTAGCTTCAGAACCACTTCGGAGCGCTTGTCAAACAACACAGGACTCCAGAATACACAGTGGCGATGTCACCTTCTGAAGCAGGATCAGTACTGAATGATCCTGTTATTTTTTATTTAATTCACTTCTGTGTACACAGGAAGAATGGGAACACAAGAGCATGGATCTTGATTGCGTTAGGGAGTGCTGGAAGGCCCAAAACAACCATGCTGAGCAAGTTTCAACATTTTGAGACATGACAAGTTTCATCTGCTTCTGAGACAGTGGCGGTGGGCCAGTTTAATAAATACTTGGCGTATTTATTCTCTTTTGTGCTAAGATGTGTCGGTTTTTTTCTGAGCAACTTTAAGGTAAATTGTGCAAAATCTGGAGAAGATAATTAGAGGGAGCAATCCCACAGCACTAGATTAGACCTGCGTATTTATTTATGAGGAACCAAATCATGAAACAAAGGGATCGAAGAGAAGGTAGGGACAGAAGACACCAATTATGATGGGTGATGGTGAAAGACCTAGCCGACATCACAGAGCCCTTAACATGACATTGACAATTTGTGCCAGTATTGGCCTACCAGTGTCAGAAGCTGCAGCTCATTCTCTCAGAAAACTGGCTGCTGTTAGTATATCCAGTATATGACAGAAGAGTCTCCTGCCAGCTCCTCATGTTAAAACCCAGTTGCCTGATCTTTTCATGTCTCTCTCAGCCAGCTTTAAAAGCTTAGCTGCTCAAGCACGTTCTGCATCTCTGCAGATCAGTTAAGCAGCCCATCTGTCAACAGAACTGTACAACACAGCGGCTCATTCACTTGCTGAGATCCAGGAATACCAGGAGGCTAGAGGGATGGTGTCAGAGCATCCCCAAGAGGTTCAGTAGAAGAAGTAAGTAGTCTCAGAGAACAGCCAGGGTGCTAGAATAGCCCCCTTAAAACCATCAATGGCTGAAAACTGCTCAATATCTGTTCCTGCAGTCATTGCTAGCCAATTTTGCCAGCAAACAAATTGCCTGGTGTGATTAATCTGGACTGCACAAACCAGAGAGCTAACATAGAAACTCTGGGAAGTGCATTTAAAACTCAAAGCAGGAGGTGCGTCTTAACACAAAGAGTTGTGGGAACCTGAGACAAGCTGCCCACAACTACTTATTATCGTTAACACCCTGGTTTCTTTAATTAAAAGTCTGGATGAGCTCCTTGGATCAGTTAGCTACTGACACCAAACAAGTGAGATGAGCTGAACCGTTTGCAGCCTTTCTTACTGTACTTGCTTTTCACTTTACAGATCATCTTCTATCATATATTCCTTTCAAAGAAACACAAAGTGTTGGGGGCTGTGTTGTCCCAAATCCAGACTATACGCAAAACTGGACACTTACACTCCCAGACTTTCAAGACTATGAGTCAATTGGAATTTGAAAATCCTGATTCAACTTGAGAGTATTAGGAGGTTACAGACAGGAGACTATTTTGCACATTTTGGTTACTGTCACGGTTGAAATCTGTCCTCTAGAGGGCACTCCTACCTCTTTCTGTTCATTTTAGTTCAATTATTTCCTGGTGTGTCTTGTTTATGTTTGGCTTTATAAGCCTAGCATCTCCGTAGCTCCTGGCTGAGCTTTGGAAGACGGACGTCTGAAGGCCCACCTACGACCAGGATTGGAGGAAGCCTGAGGGCAGATGCCTTCATCCCAGACATCCTGACCTCTGAGCCCGGGGCTCGGAGCGCCTGGTCCTGTAATGCTTTTATCTCTCTGTGTTCCTGGTTAATCTTTTTCCTTTTTCCCGGGAATTGTAATCGTCGTTGTCTCGGATGGATCTCCCGGCTCATGGAATATGGACTGTGCCCTGACTACCCCTTTTTGACCTGCCTAGACTTGGTTGCCTTTGCTTTTCCCTGTGCACTGGATCACTACTGCCAACACTCATTGTCTGTCATCACTGAATAAACCCTGGTGTGTCTTCCCTTGAAGTCTGTCTCCTGCCTCTTCCAGATTAAACCATCACACATAGGGTCTTAACAGCACACTCAATGAGAAGCTGACACAGATCCCATGACACCTATGGATCAGAGGATCACATCCAGGCATTGTTTGAAAGATTAAAAGCAATCAACAATGTAGTTATTCTCCATCCTAAAAGCACATATTCTTCTGAGTCACTGGGTCCCGACTTAATTATTGCCAATCTTAGTCCATCAGATTTTAAAACACGTCCTCTTATATATAATATTGTTAAGAAAGGCACTGCAGAGAACAGTGAATGTGGCGCAGAAGATCATTGGCTGTGGTCTCACAGAGATTAAACAGCTCTATGAGGACCGCTGCCAAGGTAGAATTCTGGCCATCACAGAGGAGCTCTTCACCCCCCTGACCTCAGGCAAGAGATACAAGAGCATACGGACACTTATTGGGGCAGAGCGGTGGATCTGTGGCTAAGGATCTGGGCCTGTGACCTGTGGAAGGGTGCCAGTTCAAATCCCACAGCTGGCAGAGAAATCCTACTCCACTGGGCCCCTGAGCTAAGCCCTTAATCCCGACTCCAGGGGCACTGTACAATGGTTGACCCTGTGCTCTAACCCCAGGCTTCTCTCTCCTTGTCTGTGTGTCTCATGGAGAGCAAGCTGGGGTATGTGAAAAGATAAATTCCTAATGCAAGAAATTGTATAGGGCTAATAAAGTTATCTTATCTTACAGTACCACCAGATTCCTCAATAGCCTCTACCCTAAAGCAGTGTAATTGGCTAACACATTTGGCCATGCCCCTCCTACACCATCTACCTCATTATAATTTTATTTATTGCACATCTGCAGTCATTGTTTACATGTATGCATTGTTTACATTTGAATTGTTTACTTATACATTGTCTTCTGTTTGTATATTGTCTTGATACACTGTCTGCACTTTGTGTTCTACACTTTTTTTAACAATCGAGATACTTTCTGTAAGTAAGAATTCCATTGTATACCTACATGTGCCGGTTACATACAGTATGGCAATAAAGTTCAAGTTCAAGTTACAGCATTAGGTGACTGAGAAGCGTCTCTTAGATAAAGTTTGTGACACTTGCAAGAGTAAACACTTCTAGCTTCAAAGCAAAGAGGATGTTTGCTGAGGTCTGGGAGGGTTCCCTGAGCAGAAAAAATTGTAAAGTTTATCTTAGTACACCTAGGTAAGTTGGGGGTTAATGATTGCAAAGGAGCAGTATACACAATCAATATAAGATCACATTAAGAGCACAGAGAGACAAGAAGAACAAAGACAAGAAGAAAGGAATGAGAGAAGAAGCAGAGAAGATAGAGGAGTCCTCAGGAGTTGGGACTTGAAGGCAAGTACCCCTACTTCATGATCATCCAAACAAAACCTGACTGGAGCTAAGTATTTGAACCTTGTTATAGAGAGCTTGCTATTCTGTGTTTTTAGGCAACTAGGGTTTGCTGGGTAAAAGATACTTCAGTTAGAAATGCTTAGGTCGCATTTTTATGGATAGGGATACAGGCTCCCATTTATTTTGTGGCATCCAGGGTGCAGAGAGAGAGATTTAACTGCAGGTTGCATTGTATTTAGTTAGAAGGCAGCTCATCTCTTACGTGGCCTCTGTAGGAATTAAGAGTCTCGTGTATGAAAGGTGCTGTATTAAATGACACAGTGGAACAGTGACGAGCAGAGCTGTGATCTATTCGTGGAGTGCTACCTGCATAGGTGCTGTATGTTCTTCTCATGTTTGTGTGGGATTCCTCAGGGTGCTCCAATCTTCCATAGCCATTCTGGTAATTTAATTGGCCTCTGGGAAAATTAGAGTGCTGTGAGTATATGCATGCTTGTGTCTGTGTGTGCCCTGTGATAGACTGGTGTCCCACCCTCAGTGTATCCTGCCTTGTGCCTGTTGCTTGCCAGGATAGGCTAGAGTTAGTGTAAGAGAATGGATGGATGCATTACATGAAAAGTGCTTAGTAGTTTTGAATGTGCTTTGCCAGAGCCCAATTTAATGTCACCCTGCACTGCTGCCTTGGATAATTAGTTACTTAAGGCTTGAGAAAGTCAAATCTGAAAACAAATCAGAAACAGTTTTAGGATCTTTTCCATCTTTATAAAAAAAGATAACAAAACAGAATTGCAGGTTTAGAAAATACAGAGTAAAGGAAATGCATAGGATGATGGTGCTGAGCTTTCCAGTAATGTCAGTAATATTCCACAATTGTCTCATCTGCAAAACAGTAAGAAATCAAACAGTACAGCAGCTACACAGTGGGTGGTTCTCAGAACTGCAGTGTAGCTGTTAAACGAAGAGGTATGCGTTTCCAGGATTATTAACAATGGTACAGAACCTTGACAGTGCAGAACCCATCCAAACATTACCATGTTGAAACAAATTTTAAAACACATATTTATGTAATGTCTAAATCATACAGTATGTGTTACATTTCTGGAATTGCAAAATTGTTTATATTCTAATACCTTTTGGCACATGAGAATTCAGGCTACTAATTTCTTTCTCATTACTCATTAGCAATATTTGTTTTTTGGGGGGGGCGGTTATTAAATAGAACTTGAAATTATCACTTAATTTTCCATTAGGAATCCTTATTGATCCAACTGTCAAACCCATACTGCCAGTTTTCAAACCGCGCAGACATTTATTTTAGAAAAACAAAATGAATCAGAATGTTTTACATAGCTTTTCTGAAATCAAAGGTCTTATCATATATCCACTTTTAAAAATTCAAAAGCCAATTATTGGAGATAAGGTGCATGTACACTTTATGCACAAAGGCTTACTGTATGTCAATATGGAATATTGAAAATGCGATGGTCCCATCACAATTTGGGCTGAGACAAAAGGTTTGTCTTTACAGAAATACTGAAGTCCCTGTCGACTCTAATACACTGATGTGTGTTTTATTGATAGGAGCTGTGCACAGACAGTTGCACCTCATGTGGTGTATTGATCAGTGTGTCTTTGTGGTGTAGATCATGCAATGTGTTTTAGAGTGTGTATTTATTAAAGTTCCTGTGTTGCAGGCAGTGTATTGAGCGGTTCGATAGATACCATTTAGACACATAATCTTCACATTACCAGTTTTGATATCTGTATTGCACACATTGATTGCATCGCCAATTAGAGATTGCGCACCTCTAAGTTGTCTCAGAGATAAACAGAGCCATTGATCAGTTTGATCATGGAGTGACGCCAATGAGGTGGCTGATGGCTTCAATTGGGTACACAGAAGTTTCAACTGTGTCCTGAGAGTGTGTCCATAACAATCCTGTGTTTCTCTGTCTGTCTCACGTTCACTTTGACTTGTCTTTCTGCACTCTTACAATCTTTCTCCCTTTCTCAGTGTGCCTCATTGGATGAAAGCACAGTAAAAAAGTGTGCAAGTGGCTACGTTTGTGTTGTTCTCTCTCCCCATCTCTGTCTGTATGTGTTTCAGACAGAGTCGCCTCCCCTTCTCCTCTACAATTCGGCTCTCACAATGAGAGTGCCCCCTATGACTAATGCGAGAGCGATGCACCCCGTCTTTGTCTGGACTCGGGTTGCACTCGATCCGGTGAGTCGGTGCTGGCTGGACTGCTCCCGGGCCCGGCACACCTCGTAGAGGTTGCCGTGGAAACGCAGGTTCTCGGACTGGAGGCGCAGGGAGTCCCACACAGCCTGGACTTCCACACGGCACTCCGAAATCACTGCCATCCCACAGGCGTGGAACTCGTCCCAGTGACTACAAGAGAGACAGGAGGGTTAATCATGCTGTAATGGGCTGGGCATGAAAAAGAGAGGAGTCATACTGATGTACTGACTGAACCACACCAAACCGACTTAACCCATCAGTGTGCAACAGAGACAGAAAATAATTAATACAAACTGACCTGAATTGTATGCATTTAATTTATTATAAGTGAGATTTCCAATATTTTTTTTCTTTTCTTGTAAATTTAGAATCACCATCTTGTCTGTTATACCTGCCCATTGTGTGACCATATATGAGGGAGGAAGTTAGGACAGACTCATAACATGTCAACCCCAGCCCCCTGCTGGGAGATAACAACTGATTGGATGAGGGGCACATCCCTCAGCCACAGCATAGCACTGTCTTGTAGCCTGCTGGGGGTGCTGTGTTGCTGAGAACCAAGAACTCCCTAGCCAACTCACCCTACTTTCATCGACATTCAGGTAACTGTGTGAAATCCAGTCACAGTCAGCTAGTGACATGACCCAAGCTTGAACCCACAAACTGCACTCAAGCAAGTGTCTTTACTGTTTGAGTCATGGTTCCAACATTTTTAACACGCTATTGCTGTGCTTTACTGCACTGCTCCATGAGTAAATTAAGGTGCCTTAGAGGCATTTACCATGACATGTCATCCAGTGTTCAGGGATCGCATGCCTGAGCTATGAACATAAAGGAAAAAGATTAACCGCTTCTTGATGAGTTAGGAATTGGTGAAAACATACTGATTAGCGGAGTAAAGCGTAGTTAAACACATTACAATTGCAGTACATACTGAAACACAGGGGAAATTCTGTGGGAAGTAATGGTAAATCTAAACAAATACAGTACTATAATCAAACGATAACCATGATAGCACAGGTTAGGTGGTTGTAAGACAAATTAAATTATGCGACCTCAACACAAAGCATATTGACAGAATATGCTAGGCAGACAGAGAGAGAAAAGGGTTAATAAAGAGTCACTTTTCTCTTTCTCTCTCAATTCTGACATTTCATGTCTATTAATAATAAGACTAATCATGCCACAAGTATCTCAACTCTCCCTTTTCCTTTCCCTCTCCCATCTCAGGATTTTAACCACCTTCATTATTAACAATAATAAGAACTACCAACAAGCAACTTGTGAAGATAGAATTGTCATGTCTCCTCATTTCACACAAGGGCAAAATCAGGAGCTACAAGGCTCTAGACAGGGTAGGCAAACCTGTGTGATCACATTTCCAACACAATTAATAAAGGAAGTAGTATTGATCAATGTAAAAACTGCAAGATATTATTAAGGCAATAAAACACATGTAGATAATCAGATCCTCCTTTGAGTAAAGAGCTTCTGCAGTAGTATTTAAAGAGAGAGATACTGGAGGCAAAGAAGTCACTGTATCACTGTAGATGGTTCTGTACTTGAGCTTCAATCAAAATTGAAAAACCTTGGAGTTATATTCTATTCTGGTTTAACATGTGCAGCATACTGTCAAAACATCTTTTTTTCACCTCAGAAATATCACTAGACTACGTCCTATGCCATCACTAACTGTGGCTGAAAAGCTGATCAACACATTTGTGTTCTCTCGAATTGACTAGTGTAATGCTCTACTTGCTGTGGTATCTAAATCTACTCTGAACAAACTGCAGTATGTCCAAAATTGAGCAGCCAGAATCCTGACCAGGTCTAGTGCAAATGTTCACATTACTCCTATCCTGGAGTCCTTGCACTGGTTTCTGGTCAAATTCCGTGTAGACTTTAAAATCCTCACCTACAAGGCTCTGCATGGCTTGGCACCTCAGTACCTGTTTGAGCTATTATCGCCCTACTCCCCACCTCGCAACCTTCGCTCTTCTAATTGCTCTCCTTACTGTCCCCCAAGCCCGTCTACATTGTATGGGTGACAGGGCCTTCTCCTGTTATGCCCCCAAGCTGTGGAACTCTCTCCTCAAGGATATCAGAGAGTCACCTTCTCTAAACTCCTTCAAATCCAGACTCAAAATCCTCTTCTTCAGAAAAGTCTTTACTTAACTGGTTCCATTCTTCACCCCTCTGCTTTTCTTAGTACCACCATCCACGGTCTCCTCTATATATTGTAATTGTGTTTTATCTTGTGTATTCTTCTTATTTATTATTGTTGTCATCCTGTAAAGCGCTTTGAGAAGCCACATTTAAAGGCGCTATATAAAATAAAGTTTATTATTATTATTATTATTATTATTATCAGTCTTGAAAAGTACACAGCCATGTTCTATAGTACCTCTACACATACTGTATAGTACGCATTTAGCAATACAGTAATAGAAGTAATATGGAGCACACGCAATGCAGGAAGCCATCTTCTCTGTTCTTTATTCACATTCTCTTAACTCCATCACTTCCTTTGTAGTAATCTAACGACAGTGTGTGCAACTCCATTTAGATAACCATGCTTCACGAAGGCTAAGCTAGGAGGTGCATGAGCAATCGAAAATACACTACAAGCCACACACATGCGCATGCATGCAGAGAATCCGGGCGACTCACGCACACACGTTGTCTATGTCCTGCTCCTCCACCAGCTCCTCCTCGACGTAACGGCTCATGCTGTCTCCCAGGCGCAGGAGACACTCAGAGAAACCACGGTAAATGCCATTACAGTGTACCTCCCTGCGCCCCTCCACCGAAGCACCCAGAGATGGGAAGACGGAGCACGCTAACAGAGATTGAGAAAGAGAGAGGATTAATACAGACAAGTGCCTTACGTGACTGGGAAGATGAGAAACAATGTGGTTTACCAGAGGAACAGCAGATCTCAGGGAAGTGTGGAGAATTCAAAGCAATAATCCAACACATTAACATTGGATCAAGCCTGGGAGTTGAGAGAGAGGGAGGGGGAGTAGAGACTGTACAAATGATACCACACCAGAACATTAGCAAAGCCCAGAATCTGAGAGAAAGAACATTTGCGTCTATACTGGGGCTGATGAACAGCACACAGATTGGCTTTCACTTAGTCCCCTGTCCTGCAATGCCTAACTGCAATAATATTACAACCACTCAAATACTTTTTTACAATGGCACAGCCTTTTTACAATCCCTAAGCCAGAAAGAGAAAACTAAGGACTTAGCAGAGGTGGATTGGTGTGCTTGGAGCACCCATAAAAAAGGTTGCAATGGGAAAGTACCAGTGTAATTAAGAGGGACTGTTATACAAGGAGATATTATTGTTGGAGAATTAGTGTTGCTTTATTCATTCCCTGTGATAAAGTAATGCTGTTCTGTGTTAATTGTCCAAAGTGTGTCTCTCTCACATATTTATTTTGTAGACAACCATTAAGAACTAGCTGTATAATCACAAAGCAATACAGACCGACACATGGAAATAGGATGTGTGGAGAACACAATGAAACACTGACAGAAAGACAGGCAGGTGGGTGGACAGATCCATCATGGTACTTACCAAAAAGAAGGAGTATTAAACTTCTTTGTGAGCAATCCATCCCAGAAAAGGCACGCACGACAGAAAATCAGCCCAATATACGTATGTGTGTGGCATATGAGTTAAATGAACAGAAAGAGGAAACAAATCATCGAGAGAGCTGACAGATGGAATGTATGGAAGAAAAGATGAAGAAAAGATGAAGCAGCTTGCAGAGACTAAGCACACAGAGGGAGGGGGAGCAAGGGGTGATGATGTGTGCTTAAAATTCACCAGGATTCACTCGGGAGTACAGAGCACATGTGTGAGAGAGAAGGAGCTGGGGGGGGAGGGGAGCTGTTCATTTTTATCACATAGAGATGGAGATAATGATAGAGAGAGATAGAGATACTGTAGGAAGACAGAGAGCTATATAGAGAGAAAGAGCTACTGTAGGTAGAGATAGAGAGATGAGAGATAAAGAGATAAAGAGCTAGATTGATAGAGTCATAGGGGATAGAGAGAGAACTAGAGATGGGATGTGGAGATGGATATTTGGATAGAGAGAAAGATAAAGATATAGATTGATACAGATAGAAGGATATGGGGTACAGAGACAGTCAGACTGCTAGAGAGAAAGGGGGGAGAGAGATGGAGAGATAGAGGGAGAGAAAGAGGGGATAGAGAGAGCTAGATAGAGAGATAAAGATCCAGTCTGACAGAGAACGAAGGGGGAATAGAGATGGAGAAATAGACAAATAGAGAAATAGGAGCTAGATAGAGGGCTGTATAAAGAGAAAGATTAAGATATAGAAAAGGATAGGGGGATAGAGAGATCAAATCCAGAACGACAGAGAGAAAGGAGGAAGAGAGATGGAGAGACAGAGGGAGAAAGAGGGAATAGAGGGAAAGATAAAGATAGAGATAGACAGACAGAAACAGGGATAGAGAGATGAAGAGATTTATAGAGATAGAGAGGATAGATCTAGATTTACAGGGAGATGGGGTGGATAAGGCAATAGAGAGATAAAAAGAGAGATAAAACAGAAATAAGGGGATGGATAGCTACTGTAAATTAACAGAGATTCACAGAGTCAGAGAAATAGATACCAAAAAATAGCAAAGAGATTGACATGTTTTAAACACTTTAAAATACTGAAACATATTTTTAATTTTAATCACTCTATCCTTGTGTACAACATAAAATCTTCATGTTGCTACACAAAAAGAATAATGCTTAACAAAAGGCCAATTTTTGTCCAATATGATATGAATACACTGCTAATTGAAACTCAAATAACACTCACAAAATACAACTGTGAAAAATCTTCACTCACACTTTTCTGAAAAAAGCATGCCGGTCAAGTCAGCTAGAGCTTTTGTAGCTGCAGCACTCTGCTTGTCTGAATGCTACATGTATTTGATATAAATAGAATTCTCCATTCATATTTCATTAACTCGGCACAGCACGAGAGCCTGAAAAGGGGGAAGGGGTGTTAACATGGATTCAGTGCCTGATTGGGAAACTGTGTACAACTGAGCTTCTGAGCCTGAAAAGCTGCATGTGTATTTAGGGGAGGTTATA